GACATCCTATAACAGTACAGCCTAAAGTAGTGCCATATTTATTACCACATGGATATTCAGAAGCATGCATTAGATTGAGTAGTAAATCCGATTTCATTTGAACATAAGATAGGAATAAATAATTACTCGATAAAATATGATCAGCCCTGACTGGTGATATAACGTATGATTCGGATGTATTCCACAGGGTCTCCTGAAAATCCTGTTCCAAACAAATTAAAATTCAGTGTGTTGCAACATTCACAAGCTCTACCTGCCGATGCTGTATGTGAGTGAGGGCAATGTGCAGGAGTGACAATTTCTGTCATGGCTGTACAGTCAGAATGACTATTTCTGCTCTCTATTGCATCTTGCAATCAACGTGTGTTTTGATAAAGTGCATGACATCCTTGTTGAGAAATCATTAGCTTGAAAAAGATTTCCAAATACAATAGCATACTGTATGGGTTATGGCCAAATTCTTAAAATGCGAAGAGATTTATAAGTCTGCCAAATGTAATTTAGAAGTCACATTTCACTGAGGATATAGTTTTCAGGCTGTGTAAAACTTCAAGCTTACCCTTCCTCCATGCCTCCCTCCCCATATTTACCTGTAGTCTTGGTCTTTTATATTCATCTGTAACTCTAACATCATTCCACCAAAAACCTAGCATGGTCTCTTCCAGGAGTAGTTACTGGGTTCCCACCAGTGATGGCAGTCTCAGGATGTTTTCAAGTAGTTTTTGCCCCTAAAAACTCATGTATGTCCTGTTATACTGATAAAGAGAAATATTAAAGCAGCAGATAGGTATCATTACTCTACATGAGTCTTTAACTTTCACAGTACGCGTTCTTACATCAATAGCCAGCTGAATCACTGAACTGAAAATAACATGGACAACAGAAATCATTCTACAGGCAGGTGAGTCAACTGAACTAGTAGGAAACACAGTGACATTCCACTGAAAATTAATGATAAAACATTCTCACATCAAAGATATGGCTACTGCAGTATCTAGCTACTTGCCATTTGAAGTTAGAAGTAATAACCAAACTGCTCAGAAAACGCATGGTTTTGCTGATGTGCACATTGCAATACTGAATTTCTTTGCACAATCACACCCGTGTTATTCTTTATTTAGTGAAAAAAGGGACATACAAATGGAAGCATACTAGTAATGAAATGGATTTGTCAGCATGCTACGTGGTAACAAAAAAATCTTACTTTCTCCTTTGCTGCTTTAGAAGCCACTGTATATGTTCATACTTAAAAACTGCTTCTGTGAATCTGTTTGCAGTATCTATGTTTGATGATCAGAATGAAACTTAATTTACATGCTAATGCAGCAAAACAGATGAAGAAGAGATCAGCTGGCCTACTAACATATGCATTATTTGGGCCACACTAGTACTGTAACTTTAATCCCAATAGTGGTTTGCAGAGCTGCTCAAGATTTGATCTTCCTACAAATATCTCCCATCCATCTCTCAGATGATGTGTCACTATTTCCTATAAGTTACTGCTGAGTTTTTTTATTTCATCTCTCATCCTGTTGTATGTTAAAAAGTGATTAATTTTTCAGGATCAAAAGGTTTTTTTTCATGGAATCAAATCTAAGCATTAACTGGTTAACCACTGATACAATAGGTTTATTATTTCACAAATACAAAACAGTATTATCATTTCTCTTTGCTAGTACAAGAAGGTAGTGTGGAGGATTTTTTTCCAAATATCCTCATCTGAGACATTTCAAGAACACTCATGAGGATCTGCCTTGGTCAAGCCTTTATCAGGCCATCACCTATTATACTACACTTGTGGATCAGCACTGGAGAAATTCTTAATAGCAAATAGGCTTGAAAATATGTAGTGATGGCTAATTTGCTAAAAGCTCACTTAAGAACTCATAAGCAAGTCATCATTAGAAGTGGTCTCTGTAAACACTTGGTTTCAGGGTATTGAAGCATGCGTTGCCTGAAAATACCAAGAGATCCTTTGTACACACACATCATGAGTTGACAAGTCTGTCCTGCCCTCCATCCTAAAACATCAGCAGCTCTAAGCCATAACATAAGAACCTGAGTAAAAAGGTAGAGCGTGAAGTCCTGCTGCTTTCAGAAGATGGGGATGCTTCCTGTCAGCATGAGTGCACTATATTTGTGTTTAGCTTTACTCTGCTTTTAAGATTTGTTCATATTTTGTTAACTCACAATTAGGTTTGTCACACACAAAACAATAGGAACTGATTCAGCACCACGTTACTCTGTTTTTGTTCAGATCATTGTTTGACTATTATTTTTTTTTTCAGATATTGGCAGTACGTTACAGAAATAATAGTGGAAATGTACCAAACATCCATACTGACCATCTCTGCCCTTATTCTCTTGCAAGAAAGAGTAGAGTTCAGCCTGAGCCTGCAGAGAACAGTGACAACATTCCTGCTACTACTTTTGATTTCTATAATTTTCCTAGCTGTTAAAAGTTTCTGCTTTTCAGACAGTCTCCTGTATTCTAAGTTATCTAAGAAATCTCTCATTCTCTTTTATTAGACCCTGGTGATTCTTATTTGTCTCAAGGGTAGGGGCCATAGATTTATGCATGCTTCTGTTCTAGAGCACTGCTGAAAACCTGAAGTTGGTTCTGAAGTCAAAATATCACCTAAATTGAACAATTTATCTTCTTTTTAGCTATGACCCAACAGATCCTGACTGTCCATCATATGACGGAGAAAGCTATTTTCTGCATGGGGCTCCACCTGCCTTACTATTAAGATATCCTCCTCATACTGCTGGCCTATCCTCTTGAATTCACACTTCCATCCTGGTGCTATTGCTCCTCTTGTGCTGCGAATTTTGAGGCAGATCCCCCTTTGTGCATGTAGCAAGGATGTGAAGAGAAACAACCTTCCCACTACAAGACTTTAGTCAATTAAATATACAGTAAATCCAATACGGCACTCCATATCCATATATTTCTAGGTTATTATTTTACATGAGGGAAGCACAGGACAGAAAATAAACCAGCCAGGAAGGGAGGCAGACCAAAACAAAGAAACAAGCCAGAGCAAAAATACAGCAGTTTAACATAGGAACACTGCTGAAGTAAGGCAAACTTTGTCAGTTTAGGTTACATTACTGTGCTTAGTCTTAACAGCAGCTCTCAGTCTTTCCTTTGTACAAAATTCAATGATGTTTCTGAAACATAAAATACAAACATTTAGCACACCTGTAATTCTTCACCGTTCAGCTGAGGAAGGCATTTGTACTGCAGAAGTCCCAGCATAACCACTTCGGAAGTTGCTTCACTCCTTCTGGGCACCAGATAATTTCATTATCCATTTGCATGAAATCTAAATCCTCAGGACCTGTTGCTCATACTAGGATACACTTTTTCCCACTTTAAAATTGTGGCAAAAACATGGCAAGGGAAATAGCAGGGATGAACAACAGGTATGCTGACTTTTTTTCGTATTTATTTAATAATTGTTGTATAAAAGGTCACGGTGAACTTTTCTCTTAAAATGATAGCTTGATGAAAGAATGGCATATGCATGCTTGTTGCTTTCTTGTAAAAGTTTTCTGAAGCACACGGACAACATTTATGGAAATAATCAGAAAACGGATATGACAGTATCTCAGTCCAATTATAATTCTATATACTTTGTGTTTCAAATGGATGGAGAATCTAAACCCTGCAAGTGCAATGCTTGCAAACACGGTCAGATTTTATTATGAGCAACAAGAACATGAGTACAGAGACTATTTTTTGAAGTGATGGGGCTGGCAGGGTGAAGGAAGCACAGAAAACTGACAACTAAAGAGACAGTAAAGCAAACAGAAAACCCCCGCCAAAGACTAACCTTTAAGGAGTATTCTATTAAGCTGATAGTCCAGACCTAACTTTGTGGAGTTTATGTAGTTTTTGTAGAGATATTCCTGAAATAATCCTGGATTAAACAATTAAATATTTTACCTAGAATGAGAACAATAAAATATAAAGAAAATACTGGAACAAAAGCAGGAGTAACAGACTTACTGCAAAAGATAATTAAAAAAGGGAAAAATAACTGTCAAAGTCTAATTCTGCATCAGTGTCACTGTTATATGATGCAATTACACAGAAGTAGAGGTGTGACTAGACTTGAGCTAGCTCTTTTATAATTGCTTGGGTAATAATAGTACTCAAGATACAGTGTTGTGATTTGGCACTGACTGACCACACGTTTACATAAAGGGAGGCCTGCTTATAGATGCTACAGGAATACCCCAAATAAAGCAAGCAAGCAGAGTTCAAGTGATACAGCAAGCACTCATACACTTTTGGGGGATGAGAAACATAAACAGCCTTTTACTCTGCTAAAATTAACAGCACTTATTTTCCATCACAAAGAGATGTGTTTCAAAAACCAGCAAAGGCCTCCATAATTGTTTTAAAAACAAAAGAAAACAAGAGGAGAAATAGAAGAAACAGGTACAAAATAGAGAGGAAAGGCTGAAATGAATTTTATTTCACAACACAGAGTTAAGGAGGAGGAAAGTATACTGAAATAAAGAAAAGCACTGAAGGAGAATAAGGAAACCCAACATTTTAGTGTACTGTAATTACTTATTCCACTATTGCCTTGTTCTGTGACATTTTATTGATGATGTTTCATGGATCATCAATGAAGTAACAATACAAAAAGCCCTAGAATCTTATTTCCTTCTGGTTGTGTTAGATTGACAGTAACTAGTCCATTACAAAGGGGCAACTAGTTCAGCCTGAAGACCTGATGCAAGAGCAAAGGGGGGAAAAATAATTAAAAAAAAAAAAGATCAATAATAATGTGTTAACTTTGAAAGGAACACCAAGTGAAACAAATTAATAAATAATTAGTTTAAGTGTAACAGTATTTTCAAAGCAAATGGACTACTTCTGTTACCAAGAAGATAGGGCATTTGACAGCTAATAAGACAGCGAGGCATTCAGCATCCAAACAGTAAAAGGTGAGAGTTAATATTACACTAATGAGCCACAAGCATACTGCTGGCTTGGTTTTTATTAACACTAATAAATGAGCTCATAATACTGATCAGAAATGTTTTTTTTCTCCACACATCTCACAAAAGAATTTCAGGTGACAAGTACTATGATACATATGGTAGAAACAAACAGCTGTGGCCACAAAGATGTTTTGTTAACTGATGACTAATATATTCAGGAAGCAATCACACTATTCATTAGTAAAAGTTTACAAACATTAAAAAGTGCATAACATTTGAAACCAACAACAACACAAAAATATATATAATATATATACTATATATAAAGAACGTGTCATCGCCTTCTGTTAATAAAAGAAAACAAATCTTCTAACTTTGTGATTGGTGCTTACGTGATTGCCATGGTTTACTAGCCAGTCACTCTCATTACTCACCTTAGTCACTCAGCGGTGTGGTGGCCTCATGTCTACTGGGGCAGGATGGGGGGAAGGGAATCAATCAACATAGCTACTGCAGAATAGGTCATTCATTTGTAGATGTTTTAAGTAATCCCCTGGATGGAGAAGCTATTTTGGTATTTCGAGGAAGGTCCAGTTTGGGCTGTCATCTTGGAATAGATGAAAGGGGAAAAATCCAGTCTTTTGGGTGCTAGGTGCCAAGTCTCTCACTACCCTTTCCACCTCCTAGCCAAAGGGCTGCTGTAGCAGCTTCTAGCACTTGGCTTTACCTGGTGCATCAGTAACAGGCTACTGGCTCTGCAAACTCAACAGCCTGATCAACTGAGGCAAAGGCAAGGAATAGAAAAAATAGTCCCCCTGGCTGGATCCAACCCATGATCCACTAGTTGGACTATCCTGCAAGCTAAAACTCATTCCGGAATACGTACCTGGCAGTAACTTATGCCAGTTATTCTCCTGTGTGTAAACAAGGCCTACCTTTAACAACGTGAACCAGGAAAATCTCTAGCACCACGGAAATTGTTTGAATTTTAGCCCATACGAGGTTATAAATGTATTCTTAAAACTACCATGACAATAAAATACTTGGACTAACATTTTAAAAAAATATCTCAGAGAAAGATTAAGAAATTGGGAGTAAAATTAGAAAAATGGGGAAGAATAACATAACAGATTCAATTTGAGTCTCTGATATGCAACTAACTACAGGCAAGTGGCAAAACTGTACCAAGGACACAAAACACGCTGAAGTATTCACATTAACAAATCGTTTTGAAGGCTCATCTAGTAACAAATTAGAGTGTTGCTGAGTCATTTAGGTTTAGGCATAATCAATTTAGCGGTTGACGTTTTAAATCTATCATGTGCACAACACCACATTATGCAAAAAACCAGCCCTTTCAAAACGCGTGGTAGAAAAATTCACAGTAACAGAAATATTCTTCATAAGCAGTTGAGAAGGGGCAGTGTGGAGCATCTAAGTCATACAATACAAAAACCATTGTAAATAACAGAGCTGTAAAACAGACGCAAAGTTCTAAAAACAGTGCTTTCTTTACAGTTCTTTTAATGGGTGAACACTCTGGCCAGAGAATTTTAAACTCTGAGGATCACACAAACCTTCGCTTAAGATACACAATTAGATCCTCTGACGTTTCAAAGGCCATTTGCTACAAGATTTACACGTTCTAATTTTTAGAAGTGTTCCCATCAAGTAGTCATTATGAAGGGATCCATCTGATGACACTATCCCAAGAAATCAATACATGTTCAACCATTGCTAATGACAGAGGTAGAGAAAATTCTGTCTTCTGCCACAGCTTGCACCCCCATTTTTAGCATTGTGTTGAGTGGGTTCCAGCAGTGAAGACACATGCACTTTCTTTTCCACCGGCTTGCTCATGGAAACAAATCTGTTCCAGCATGCTCTTGTAGTCTGAAAACATCCAGCAGCTGGTCCAGTCGGTCAAAGTCGGATGTCAGCTTTCTTGCTTTGCTGCCTCCCCTTGGGCCTCCCCAGTTTGCTCACTTTGATTTCGTTGTGCATCTCCTTCTCCTTCTGTAATATACAAGAAAAGGACAAGTGATCCACCCAAAAATAAAGAGGTCTTGCTCTCAGAACCCCAACTGTTCATCCACCAGTCTCAAAACCAAAGCAAACGGAAACTGAAACTGAAGTCTTGCATTAAGTATAAAACCTTTTACTACTAAGATAGACATACTTTGCATCTCAAGAGACACCTTCATAACCAAATTCCTAGCTGCAATCACCAGTCATTTTAAGTACAGACTTAAAGTAGCTAGAAATGAAAGAATTTAACAAAAATAGTAGGGTATTTTTGACAATTTATTCACTGTGCTACTATGACAATGTATGAGAAGAAAACCTCATTACACCAAGTCTGAACAGTGTTTGCTTTAAAGAGATGCAACTTTAAAAAAAACGATAGTTGGTTAAAGCTGTGTTTGTTCTGTGTGTCCCTTTTCAGTACCATGCCCCACTGCACCCAGTCCAGCTGTCTCACTGCAAACCACAGAACGATCTGAGGAATAGAAAACATCTTACAGTGGCACAGTGAGCAGACAACTCATAAAGCCTGACTAAAAAAGGCATTGCCAATGGTCTACTAGTACCTATATGCAAAGTATTGTATTTCACCTAAAGATTAAAGGCCTAACAGGTTCAGACAGCTGGAAGCTAAGTGGAAGAAAGACAGAAGTCCCTGAACGCTGGACTCATTAGCTATAGATACATAATCAGGAATAATGTTAGGTAAGGAATAATGTTAAGATGCAAGCTGTCTCTTGTATCTTGCAAGGATTATGAGTAAGTTGTATTGCCCTTGCTTGATACAGTAGTTAAGCGAAGAAAATTCCATGGACTGAGTTGTAATGAGGTAGAAGTGCCTCTTAACTTTAATCTACAGATCTTTAGAATAAAGGCAGGTTTCTCAATACAGATGTTTATTGTTTCCCCATTTCAGATCACACTGTACATCTGCAGCTTTAGTTCTGTTTATAGAAATAAGCACCATAAACACCTTCTCTTTTCTATATAGAAGAAATGGCACATTGCTAATGAAAAAAAAAAGAAATTCTTTGCATTGCAAAGAACATTGCAAAAAGCTTAGATGTGATGGCTGTGTTTTGTGCATGCCCTGAGTATTTAGGCAGAAAAATGCCTCAGAAGGTATTGGTAATTACCAAATTCAGTCTGATGAAAAGTTGTATGAAAGGCTGATTAATCTATTAAACAGTGAGGTTTTTTTCTGTTCATTATAGATTGAATAACAAATAAAAAATTATTTTGCAAGGCGCTTTCTTAGAAAAGTCTTTATTTCTCAGTTTCATCTCCCGCATTACAAAGGATTCCTTCAGAATGGATCTACATGCATTTATTTCCTACTGACAGAAATCCCTTTTGCCCAAGTTGTCCAAACACTTTCTACAAAGCCTACTACATTTTTTCTGATACAGTAGAAGTCCAGATGAGTGGAATCTTATTTTTTTAATCCTTTTTATTCCTTTATGCCTGCTCTGTACACCATTCTGACTACTAGAAAGTCTTTAGTATCCCTCATACTATCTGGGCAAGTCAAGATTTCCTGAAAGAATTATTAAAAAAAAAAAAAAAAAAAAAAAAAAAGCCAAAACTGAAGAGAGAATAAAAACCTTGCAAAGTATTTGTGTTTAAGAGAAAAATCATCCTGGACAAAAGGCCAAACATTTCACTACCTAAATGTTAAATATAGTGCACAAAGATTCAGAGAAAGAGCACTAAGGTTCTAACACACCAATTCTTAAAAGATTTTCCCAACTCACTGAAAAAAATTCACTAGTGTAAATCCAATTAATCTATAATATGCTTTTGTCTTTCTGCTGGCAGAACTTTCCTACCAAAGTCCTTAAAATACGTTTACGGAAATAATTTTGCTTTTAAATTCTGTGAATCCCAAAACTGCCTAAGCACACTCTTGAACTATTCTTCCTTCAGAACATGATGACTATAAGGTCTTAAGACTAAGATTTGCGATTCTTACATGGCATTTTGAAACCAACAGGCAGTGTTAAAAAACTCCAAACCATATAGTATGATACTGTAAGGAGTTGGTAAGCTAGCAAGTTACTACTCTGCTAATATGCAGCTTTTAACTCATTTTTCTTCCTGTAACATTACTGACTCTTCAGTGCTTTATCAGTGTTCCCAATGCTTACACCTAAAACATTTCTACCGAGAACTAAAACCACTTTTAATCACAAATTTCTACAATCAGTCCTTCATTCCAGTTCTGTATGACTTCAAAGCCTCTGCTACCCCCAGTACAACTTTTATAAGGAAGTCTCCTTTCCACTTCTCCACCAAAATTGTGTTCTGTGGTGTATCTGCAGACACCTGGAAAACCAGCAGTTTGTTTTAGAGTTTAGACTTGCAGAGACTGGTCCTCGTTCTTCACTGAAATTTTTCCTTAGTGCTTTATTTAGCTATGATGATCTCAATATAAGTTTTCTTAAAATTGCATTGGCTTGCTTGAGAGAGAGTTGAGCAGGTGAGCTACCTGCTGATTTCCCTACTAAAATATTTCTTTTGCCTTCTGTCTTACTATTTTTGTTGCAGTTTCCTACTTATCAGATGTACACAGGATTACATTTACTAAAGTCAGATAAAATGCATTGCCACAGAGTACTTGGAAACTATATTTTGAAATTTGGTAAATATGTCCATTGCATAGATATTATAACAGGTTGTTAGCTTATTATGGACAAAGAACACTGGAAAAGTTGTCTGGAAGGGAGAGTATTATACACTAATTATATATATTATACATAATTATGCAGTAATTCTTGATTATCTGTCGTTGGCTCACCAATGAGTGGATTAACCAGCACTCACTTCAGGTATCAAATATTGCATGACAGAAAATCTGTGGTCTTTGAACAAGGCCTCACTGCTTAGTGCTATTCGAAGCTGTTGCTGTTCTTTATAGGAAATGTATCTACAGGCTTTTCAAAGTGAATGTACTAAATATGCTTGGGTAGCTTAATTTACATATGTTTTATAATAACTTCTTTTCTTTTTTTTTTTTTTTTTACCTGCATTATCCTACTCTGCCATTACTCCATACACTTGAAAGCAAAGGTACTTGCACTTTTGCAAGAAAATGTATATAGCTGTAATAAAAGAAAAAGGAAAAAAAAAAGAATCGAAACTTTGTGTCTATATAATTAGGTAGTACTTAGAACAAATTATTTGACATTCACCTTGAAAGAAGTAAGATATAATCCCCAAACGTGTTTTCCTCTTAATCCTGTCAGTTGTGATGCATGTATGCATCCTTTCTGCAGTAGTATATTCTGAACTGGAATCTGGGATGCAAAACACTTTTTAGCCTCTCTTTGGTTTTGGAAAGACATGATGGGATAATACACTAATACTCATGAATGATAACACAATGCATTTTGTAATATTCGTGGTTTGGAGGCTTTTATCTGGCACCTAGGTGTACAAATAATACAATATTTAAATGTATTTTCATTGTATCTAATTCAAACTGCAGAATTTCCTGGAGAAGTATGCAGGCGTTTTGTGTATCTACTACCTAAAGTAATTTTATGAGCAACTCTGTACACTTTCCTGCAATGATTAAGTTACTCAAGCTGCAAAAGAGGTCTTCAAGAAAAACTAAATAGACTCCTGATTATGTATTAAAAAATAGGCTAACAGTTATTTAAACCATTCTCATCACTACAGAACTAATTGCATGTACAAAATGCATGCCAATATCTATTACAGGCACAAAGTCACATTCTTTTTATAGGTCAGAAATGAACACTGTTCTGGCTTACAATCACTCCAACTGCTTAATTTAAAAAAATATGGATTATTTATATCTTCTAAGTGGACAAGATCAAAGACAATTTTGGTAAGTGTAAATTTGAGACTGAAGAAAATTAAAGCAAGAAGAAAGGTTGACATTATGCATTTCAAATGCCACCTACTTTATATTTTTGCAACATTTTACACATATCCCCACATTAAAATAAACAGACACACCTACACACACACTAATAAAGCTTTTCTTTTTAAATAGAAAAAAAATTAAAGGCCCTGCCCAGCTACAATTGCATGAATCTAGAGGCTATAGGCCCCAAACTGGCAAGTTCAGAAGGAATGACTTTGGATGTATATTAGTCTGAAAGCCAAAAAAAGAATCTCTCCATCCAAACAGCAGTACAACCACCCAAACGTCACGCTGCCCACAGCTGATTGACCAGTGATGAGGCTGCCTCTCAGACTCTTGGCATTGTCTCTCAGAAAAATATGTGCACAAACAGGTCAGCTGCTTGCAAACAATTTGTTCTTTGCTGCATTTGTTTTCTTCTGCTATTATTAAAATAAGCACGAAACCTCTTTCCTAAGATCTGAATAGGGCTCTCAAATACCTCTAAGATTCATTCATTAACCCCCACCCACGTAACATTAAAATAATTACATATATTACTATTTTTATTTAGTGTAAGGCCCTTCAGCCTATACTGTCCCTCCTTCCTCTCAACTGAAGGTGCACAACCAGCTAAAAAATTTTGGTAATATTAGAGGTGAAGTAAGATTTAGGATTGCATTAGTGCTAATCACCTTAAAAGAAGGAAAAGGTATTATCAGAAAGGGGAAGAAGACAATATACCCATAGACAAAGATCCAAGTAAAACAAGCAACAACACACTGCTACTGCTCTGTCCTCTGGCAGCTGAAAACAAAATTAACCTCCACAATAACCTTTCAAGCAGGTGCATGACTTCTACTACAGGCTTCAAGCCAGAGAACTTCCATTAAATGATGTTACGAGAGTTGGATCTTATAAAGACTTCCTTAATTTCCTCCTTACACTTGATTTTCCATAAAATCTGCCCTGGTATGGGCCCTGCCACTAGGCACTCACTGCAGAATGACTTTTTTTTTTTTCAGTAATGTGTTGCACTTGCAAATAACCACCCTTTCCGTTTATGAAATAAGGGCTTCTTATTGCAGGCAACCCAAGGTGATCAGAAAAAATATTTTTCTTGATGAGAGACAAGGGAATAATGCATGCACATAAAGCATGTTTTGTGTACCACTCTTTTAATTTTAGTTTTAAATAAATATAATAGAAGACCAAAATGTACTCACCTGCTTTGTTTATATCAAGCTCTGATAACTTTAAGGCTAGTTCACTAGAATTCCCACCAGGAGATGACACAAGTATGTCATGTAACGCATTTCTTCTACCTGTTCTTCCTGAAGCAATAAAGTCTGCATATGTAGATTCCACATCAGTCATTGCTAACAAATATCCACATAGCAGTACCTGGATGGGAGGGAAAAGAAAAAAAATAAGAACAACACTTAGACCACCATAAAAACAGGTGATGTTATGGAATGGAAATAGAGGAACTAGAGGGTTCTCATTGTGGAGTAGACTGGTTAAGCAGTAAGCAGCAAAAAAAGATGCCTCAGTCTCAAAATATAGAGAAATTAGAGAAGAAACAGAGTAGAAAGAAAAAAAGGTGTGTGGATTTTATGCAATCTGCATTCAAAAGTATTCTAAACAATTTCATTTTTCATACTTCATAAAATTCTAGCAAGTACTTCATAAAAGCAATGACCTCAGCAACATAATTTCTTTATAGAGCTGTCTCTGCTTTTAATATTAGCTGGGAAGTAGGAGGTAGGTAGGGGGTGGAACAAAGTTCTTTTCTGCACAAGAAGTAAAGCGTAAGGATCAAGAAAGTACAAATCGATAATGCTTTTGCACGCAGAACACTCTGCTTGTACACAGGCACAGCTATGTTTTATGTATTTTCCATTCTATTAGTATGATTAGTTTTGGCATTGTATATAGACCTCTTCAGACTCAGCTGATTTATTTTGGTGGGGTAGTTGCACCACAGCAAATTCATTACCATAAAGTCACTGAAACAGCGGAGACACGCTAACAGAGCAAGCAGAATAGCTAAACAATAGTGCAGAGGTTAGAAAGCAGTGCTCTGTAAGCTAGATATAAACTCAAAACTTCATTAGAAAATAATCATTTTTCATGTTATTATGGAATAATGTGATGATTTGCATTAATATATCTTTACAGATCTTTCAAGAAAACTCCTGTTTCAACCTCAGTAAGAGAAAGATTTCCATCCCTGCTAGAGTATCTGCTGTATCTGCTATAACTCTAATATGTTAGCGTTATTTTTTCTTTTTTTTTTTTTTTTTTAATTTATAGAATTGTAACCAGAGACCAGGGTGGGGGTGGGCCAGGCGGGAGGGGGAGGCGCTTTCGCTTGCTGAGCACACTGCTTTTACTGTAGTTCCATTTGTACTCATCTCAGGTTTCCTGCAAAAAGCTAGGCTACCATGCTTCAAATGTGGCTTCCCTCACATCCTACATTTGGATGTAGTAGGGGAATCAGGGAACCTTTCTGCTACAGCAGTACTCCAAAGAAAAGAAGCACTAGGGAACTGCTAAACAAAAACAGTAACCCCCATAGTTGTATGCTTCCTTCATTTCTAAGTATTTCTGAAATTTGCAGTATTTCTGTGGCTTTGCATAATGCAGAGAGAGGACATGGCCATAAGGGAAACACTGCACAGTTGCATACAGTGTGAAGCTTTAGCTATTATTACTAAAATAGCTGAAACTACATATTTGCATAGAGTGTACAAATCTTTTTAATCAGTTTCTACTGCTGTTGCTGGACACAGATGCAGCCCCCGAAGTCATCACAAACACTAACAGCAGCAAAAGATTCAGCTTTCTCTCTTCAAATAAAGAACATAAATTTTTAATAAACATTTTATTTTTAAAACAGATCTATAAAAGACAACAGCCAACATTTCCCCACCCTCAACTCTGAATAACTTAACAAATCCTGTCCATTCTTCATTCTAGTTCTTGCCTCTCCACATTCAGTCAGCTCTATGAGGATATGCATATGTCTGAGAAGCCATGAAAAGGGTTCTACACCGTATTTTATTTAGTCTAAATATAACTATATCAAGTATCACTGCAAACTGACTAGCTTATAAAGAAGTTCACTGCTTTCAATCTTAGGTGTCCCATGCCAAATGCTGAATGGCTGACAGGATAATTTTACTCCTATGAACAACCACTATGAAACAGGAAACTGCTGTAAAAAAAAAACAAAAACAAAACAAACAAACAAACAAACAAACAAACAAACAAACAAAAAACAAAACCCAACCAAAAAACAACTCATAAAACCTAACAAACAGACACCTAGAGAATGGAAAGAGGTCAGCACTGACTGACAGCCTGTCTGACACATAAAATAGTGTGCTTGCCTTTCACTTAACAGTTGCTTTCATGAGCATGAGAGCATGTGCATTTCTTCCCAGGAAGTGCCCCCTGCTTCAAACACTGCAAGAATACTGAAGCAAATGAGAAGCCCACCATTTGTCCTTTGCCCAGGGTGCAGACTTCACAATGCCAACTATATCAAGCATGTAGTAATGAAGCATATAATCTGCAAAGGTAAAGGGAAACAGGGAGGACTGTTGTGATAAGGTAAGAAAACAGCACAAGTTTTCAGACTTATCTGGCCTGCTCACTGAAGAGTACCATCCAGCAAAATCAGAAGATAAAAGATTATAAGTGAGACTTACATGAGCTATATTTGTTCATGCCTGTTATTGCAACTGGCCTGTAGAAAAGGAACTGCAAAACTTTAAAGTAATCAATGTACAGGGTTGGATTTTGTCATTAGTGTAGCACCAGTCCAAAGTTATCATAGCTATCACTCCTGCAAAGACATTAATTTCATTTTAGCATAGAAAAACAACCACAGGGAAGAATATTCTTTTGCTGCTCTGGAAACTGCATATCAGTGCATTGGGAACAGAATAGCAGAGAAGAGTATGACTGAAGCGGGACAAGCTAGAGGGCTGAAAGGCTGGCAAAATGAGCAATATTGTATTCCACGAGCAGTTCCCTAGACTGTACAAACTGCACTCCACAGAATACTCTTCTGTAAGATTATATTGTTCTTGAAATGTTCCATAAAACATGGAGAGCACCAGAGAAAATCTCAAGCTTATTTAATTTTAGCTGTGAAACAAGCTGTAAAGCCATAGGAAAATGTGCTTGTGGAGAATTTTATTTTAAATGTTCATTTCTATAGGCTCAATATGGCATTACTAACAACATTCTGATCAAAAAAGAATGTTACCAAACATACATTTATTAACAATTCCAAGTTTTCCTGTCTGCATCATCTCCTAAATATCAAACACCATTCTGTTTTGTATTGGCATTATCTTGAGACATTACTGCATAAATATGGAACTCCACTGACATCACTCGAGAGCTCCCCTTCCAATGAATGGCTCAGTGCCCAGCAGTCTGTACTTATTCACTGAACCACTCATTAAGGAATTACCATTCACTCCAAAAAACCTTTTTTTCCTCTGTCTCTGTGGAAGGAGTGGATTTTGATAATAATTCTGTGAAATGAATTGATATGATTATTCAAATTGTGAATAATTTGAATTTCCTAACTAATTGCATTAACAGATATTCCCGCATTAAAAATTGTGGTCACAGTCTCCCTAGTTCTACTAATTTTTTTTTTTTTTTTTAAATTGCAAAACCTGTATTCAGCTACACGGAATTGAATTAAAACAAGAAGGCTGCAATCCTCAGTGCTTCTGCCAACTGAACCAGCAAACTAAAGAAAGCAGTTCTGTGAGCATAAGGACTAATGAAACCTGCTGTCACAGGATTGGATTCCTTGGTAACTGATAAGATACTGTCCCATCTGAAGTCTCCCCCAGCTGTGCTTTGTCTTTCCCCCCAAGTAGAGTCATTTTGCCTGATAATGTGTTAGAGTTTGAAATACAGCCCTGGGGATTTTCATATGGCATCTTTCCTTTCCTCAGCTTCTTAGTTTTATAAAACTTCTAGACATGCGGGTATCTTGGACTTCTGTGTCTTTCCCCTCCCAACTCCTTCCCTCCAAAGAAAGTTGTGCTGAAAATTAGTTGGAAGCACTTAAAGAATTATAGAGAATAAGGAAGGTAGATAGGCATAGTTGCTATCTTGGATTTTAGCGAACGTAACAAGACATCTCTGTATTAGTAATGAGTATTTTGGGTAACATATACTTCTACTACTGCAAAAAGCCTACTTCTATATCCTGTTGAAACAAAGATGTTTTACAGGTAAAGAATCATAAGGAGTAGAATTAGAATCCAGAGAATGAAGGAAGAGAAAAGATGGATGACATGAACAGTATAATTTAATAGGTACAGAAAGAATCATTATTTGTGTTTTCAGAAAGTTCCCAGAATACTTCTTGATTTCTACAATCCAATCTCTGTGTTAAATCTTCTGTTTCTATGCTGTACATAACAAATCTTATTCCCCAAGTTTCTGAAGGTAACTGTCGAATTTCTACAACTGTTTTCCTCCTTCTATGCGCTTCGGGTTTATTGAAAGAACTCTTAAAAAAACCCCTAAGAAGTTAGTGATGGCTTCACAAATGACAATGCAATTTCATTGCATTCCATAATCATTCAGTGAAACCAAGTGTTACACAGTGCCATTGTTCTCAAGAATTTGAGAAGTGAAAGTACAGAGATCATGTGGCATACCAGTATGAATTAAAAATCAGTTGTCTATACAGTTTATGGGCTAGAAGTACCTAGGGTTGTTGAATTTAGTCTGTGTAAGGGACTAGCTACCTAAGAGGCCCAAACACATTTAAAGTACCTTCACTAATTGGTATTTATTATTATTATTAATTTTAAAAAGGAAGACAGAATAATTGCAGGCACTTGACACATGGCTTGTCTATAGGATTTCGCACATGTTCCTGACTAGCACATGAGAGCTGCCATTTTCTTGGCAAACCTGCAGTGTAAGACTAAGAGGTATGATCCTTCAACGTTTACTCCCAGTTCTTTCTCCATACATGCTTAATGATGGCTTTGAAGAAGGGATTTTCAAATAATACTCTCCCAGGCTTTGGCTGCTAAATGTTGTATCACGATCAGCACATTATTTAAATATAATTATCTATATTCAGCTTTCATAAGGGAACAAAAAAAAAAAAAAAAAAAGAGAGAACTTGTCATTTAATAGCACGTCTGTTTTAGAAAAGGTGTATAATTATGCTTTTAAAATAAATTTTGGTTCCAAATCTAGCCTTAGCTTAGAGACAGGGCTCTTTCCAGTGAGGAGATAGCTCTATTCCACAGCAACCTGTACCTAGATTCCCACCTCCATACATGGTCTACTATGTTGAAAGCAGGAACAGAGGAACAATTTAACAAAGGTATACTTCTTCCACAAGAGATTATAGCTGTTGTGCTATACAATAGTATTGCTTTTGCAGAGGCACAGATGAGCAAGAAAACAGCATTAACTCTTGAAAGCCAGTTAAAGGAAATATAAATGCCCATGCCACCTATTGTGCTAGACAGTACTTTAATCTGAACTTTGAAAATCCCTTATGTAATTTTGCCTGTCTGATGTTTCTGAAGTGACCACCTCTATGAAATAGTAATGTAGAACAGGTCACATAGTCTTTTGACAGTTAACGTTTTTACTGTGAACATTGTATATGTAGTACTCCTAGTACTAATAAGGTCTTAATGGAAATTAGTGGACAATTCAACTGGTTAAACAAGGAAACAGAACAAAGAAAATGACCACCTATTTTTTTTTTTTTTAACCAGAAAAAAAATTAAAAGCTGTTTTAAATATGCAATAAAAAAGCACTATGAAGTTGGATATCCTCCAGCTCATAACCTCTACAAAGAGATCATTCACCAAGACAGTTAATAGGTTTTCCTTCTGCATTATCTAAGTTATATTTTACCTAAGGAGGTCTAGAGAACTAAAAGCCAAATAGTTAAATTCTTACTATGCTATTCCTCAGGCAAATTTCATTATGCCCATGACAGTAAGGATTTGGTCTCTCATCTACCACTTAATTTCAGTTCACAAATTCAGTTTTGTCTTCCACTATTCCATACAACTGTGCAGTGAAATAACAGCAGCAAATAAAAAAAAGCAAACATAATCAATAAAGCAATGCTACAGAGACCTGCAGAGAATGGAAGAGGGTGAGCTACCATCTACTATCACTAGTTGCTTCTCAACCTAAAGAGAATACTGAGTGGCAAACAAAATGTGTTTGAGAAAAGAGGCATCCATTGCTGTGTGACTTTTTACTTGCAGTCGGTGAATGGGCCTCTTGGCTTCTGAAGGGAAGGAGAGAGTTAAAGCATCAGTTTTCAGGATGTTCCGATACCCTCTACGAACAGCTATGTCCATTGCTATAGCACCCCATAACCATAAAGATGGGTAAGGGCCTTTAAGCAAGATGGGAGCTGAAAAGCTCCTCACGTGACACACATCTGGCAGCCCTGTGAGCATTCCCACCTCCATCTGAGCTGTGGGAAAGTTGATATCAGGGTTCTGGGAGCATGGGGCCACGTATGCGGCACTGCCGTTTATTTGTTTAGAGTGGTGTTGTGCTCCAAACCAAGGAGCAGGGTTAATACAATACTGAACAAGTACAATGTTTTGTTCAGAAGGAATGGTTTCAGCCTTTGGGGAAAGCCTGTCCACTGGGGCCTCTGTAAGGCAATCCAGCAGCACTCTTTTTGGAACAGAGAAATAACATGAGAGGCAAGCCCATAGAAGACTATGAAGACACAAAATACGCCCCTCAACAGGAAAGAGAAGCAATTTCTCAGCTGCTGGATTACTGGAAATCCCAGTCTATTGAGGATTCATAATAGACTGGCAGCTTGAAAATGCTATGCACAAAAAAAGAAAATAATTTCTTCAGAAATATAGAGTAGATGTCTGCTCAGCATCAGGGTGCTTAGTAGAAGGGAGGGGGGAAGTTGTGTGGCCTTTGCTCGTGAAGCACCTCTATCTTCCCAACCTTGTCCTTAATTCAGGATTCATGGTATAAGCAAGTTTGTTCTCTCAGACACTTATGTCAACAAGTGCCAGCCTGCACTGCCAGTACTTTAAAGGTATTGATCAACACAATTCTCATTAGAAAACATAGCTGAGTCTCTGATGTCTATTCTTTAGAGAACTTGTTACAAGCACTGTAGTGACTATTTTTGTAACAACCAGGTCTCCTCTATTCACTGCCACATACAACAGCATGTATATGGCTTTATGGGGAAAAAAGAACAAAACACCAAACAGTCATCATGAGTAGTCTGCAAATGCTTTGGGCCAAGCTGCTGTAAGCCACTGTAATCCTTACAGTCAACCTTCAACTGAAAAAAAAAATATAGGTTTAGCCAACTTTTAACTGAAGGTCTGATAGCAAAATAGTTCTGTGAATTACCTGCAGACCAGCATGAGCCTTCTAAGAAATCAATGTTACAAAGGTGACAATGTGGAAGCCACTCAGATAAAGGGTTTTCTATTAAACAGGTTTCCAGTTTTTGGCAGAAACTTAATGCTGTTGAAGGGGCTAAGAATAAGACCCACTGGAATAATTTTAAATGGCTGTGTACACATATGTAGGTAGATACCTATATGAGGCAATTCATCTGATCCATATTAAGCATTTGTTTTAGAATTTATGCAACTAGCAACTTCAGTGTGCTTATCTCTTCCTACTGAATAGAAAAAAATAAAAAAGTCTAGAAGGTGAGCAGAGATCTTTATTATACATACATTAAGTCAGGTGACATTAATCTTACTTTAGATGACCTAAAAGGATTCTGGTCCGTTGAGTTTTTCAATTCAGCATATATAAAATGTTTATCCACATAAGACCTATTCACCTCAATATATTTTTTTTTTCCCCTGGAGATATACATCTTGTTAGTACTAGTGATTTCGAGGTCAAAGCAAAAAAAGACTTAATTGCCATTAAAAAAAAAAAAAATCAAACAAGAAATGGCACACAGGCAGTATGAAGTACATTTTGTGTACTTTCACAGTTAAATGGGAACCGGCTGTGTTTTTTAAGAAATAGCTCCATGGTGCAAAGCAACCTTCATTCATTTTTAAGGACTGAAATACTGAGCTGAACTATAGATTTGAATGGCTAAACATCCCTAAGTAATTTATTATAGTTGGTGCTATTCCTAACAGTGAACCATGAAACTAACATGAAGATTCATGATCTTTAGCTAGTTACAGGCCAACAAATGTAGACCATTTCTTTCATATTAATATATTCCCAAACTGATAAAATACATAGTTTTGTTATGCTAGGGTAAGAACTAATGTGAGCCTTGCTCTTAATTATTTTAAAATTACAGTAAAGGTAATGGCTAGGGAGAAGGGATTAGCTAACACTTGCCAAGACTTACCTATGCATGTGCTTGGTTGGGGGAATATGATGGAATTACAAAACCACAATATGGTCATGAAGAATCAGATTTCAGATGGGGAAATATCGTCCAAAAGGGTAGTCTGTCTGGAGGACAAAACCAGGAAGAAGAAAAAGCAGATGGAGACTGGGAGAAAGCAGCAATTGCCTTAGAGAACTCAGAGTTCAGTTACAGAAAACAGTTAAGCCTGTACAACCAGAAAGATAGCTTCAACTGTGGTGGACCCCTCCAGCTGCTCTACCAAGAGGTATCTGGTAGACTAACTGGACTTAAGGACTTCATGGCAGGGCCACTGGTTTGCACGAGGGGCTTGGCTCACTGCAAAGACATTTTACGGGAGGGAAGGGAAAACCTCAGACATCTTACAGTGGAAAGATAACCTCGTCAGGTGCTGAATAGTATTTTATACTAATTCTTTGTATGGCATTTTTGTTTTTACTAGTCACTAAAAAGACTACTTTTAACATTGTAGAGCCTATTTACTAAGAAAACAGAGATCACTTTCCTCCTCCTGGAGGATTCCATCTTAAATATTTTAATTTTCCATCCTTGGAATGCAGAGTATTTCCATTGATTACTGCTGAACCAAGATCTAACACAATTATGGCACATACTCTGTTTCTAGGCAATACTCATATCATTACAATACCCATTTTCCTCTGAAATTGCAATGCATTAGGTTATCTTAGAAGACCTTTCTTCTTATCTCACTGCAAGAGATTTGGCTTAATAGAGTTATCCTTCCTAAAGTTTGCATTTTCTGATGTTCTGCGTTCTGACAATTTGATTGATATGTTTACAGCATCTGTAACAGCAGTTTGTAGGTAACAAAAGCATTTCAAATGGAAAACATGCAGTTAGAACAGGAAAAAGAAAACATCCAGATAACAGTATCATGACAGCATTTAAAACTTAGGCTATACATTACCCTATGTGGACAGGAGGGTGCACCAGCATTTTCATAAGGTTTCTTCCAGACCTGTTTGCTAAGATTCTTCAGTGTTTCAGTACAAAGTATAGTCTAGCTATCAAGTATTCAAGGTATCTAAATGCTCCACAGTTTAGCAACCTTTAAACTCTTCCTTACTAGTCCGGTGAAGTTCCCACTGACTGGAACAGGAGAAACATAACCCCCATTTTTAAAAGGGTTAAAAAAAGAAGACCCAGGGAACCCACGCACAAATACAGGCAGGGTGAAGAATGCATTGAGGACAGCCCTGCAGAGAAGGACTTGGGGGTATTAGTGGATGGAAAACTGACTGTGAGCTAGCAATGTGCACTTGCAGCCCAGAAAGGCAACTGTATCCTGGGCTGCATCAAGAGAAGTGTGGCCAGCAGGTCGAGGGAGGGGATTCTACCCCTCTACTCCACTCTCATGAGATCCCACCTGGAGTACTGTATCCAGCTCTGGGGCCCCCAACATAAGAAAGACATGGACCTGCAAGAGTGAGTCCAGAGGAGGGACACAAAGATGATCAGGCGACTGGAGCACCTTCACTATGAGGCCAGGCTGAGAGAGTTGGGGGTGTTCAGCCTGGAGAAGCGAAGGCTTCGGAGAGACTTTACAGCAGCCTTCCAGTGCCTAAAGGGGGCTACAGGGAAGGTGGGGAGGGACTTTTTACAAGGGCATGTAGTGACAGGACAAGGGGTAATGGTTTTAAGATGAAAGAAGGTAGATTTATATTAGACATATGGAAGTTCTTTCCTGTGAGGGTGGTGAGACCCTGGCCCAGGGTGCCCAGAGCAGCTGTGGCTGCCCCCTCCCTGGAAGGGTTCAAGGCCAGGTTGGACGGGGCTGGGAGCAACCTGGTCGGGTGGAAGGTGTCCCTATCCACGGCAGGGGGGTTGGAGCAGATGCAACATTGGTTGTATTATATATCTTTTCAGCATCTTCTGGTAGAATAGCTCAACAGTCTGCATGTGACTACCTTTTAAAATCATGCAGTCATGACTCATCATGAAAGTATGTGTTGCAGCATCCAGAACTGAGGAACTTGAGCTTATCATTGTTTCTTCTTGGACAGTGTCAAAGACAGTACTGGAAGGACAGGATTTGCCTTGATAGCAAGATCATTCACAACTGTATGTTACTAAATATTAAATATTGGTTCCTACATTTGCTTTTAATAAAATCAATTACTTCTTGAAAAGACAAAGCTACTATAGTATAATATGCTTCTGTTAAGGCCTCACATTTCACAAGCAAGCTTGGAGTTTCCCAAGAATATACCCAGTGACACCATACTTTTCAGTATTTACAAAGATAAATACCACTGGGCCAGCCTAGAGACCTGTGAATATAAGACAAGCTGCTTTTTAGTAATGTAAGTATTTGAACCCCTTTGTGCCACAATACATTAATCGGTATTTCATTCATGGTATATTCGGTCAACTTTTTGGCTCATCAATAATAAATTAACTTTTCCATGCAAATTTTTTCCCATGGCAGGCATTTAACATCTACTTTACATTTGAATTAGTTTTCCTAGACACTAGACATTCTGCCTTTCTTTTAATTACTATCTAGAAGCTACAAAAAAAGCACAAATTGGCTGACAGCATTTCAGTTTTTGTAGCTTAAAAGCAGTTCAATTTCTTATACCTCACCCAATAAATTCACATTTTATACTGTGTATCATTTCACTTTGGTTTCTCTTAGTCTCAGGCTTATATTTTTCAAGGTTTTCATCCTTTTTGCATTCTGCTCCCATGTGTACACTGACTACTTTAGAGTCTACGGACTGCCTGGTTCTGTTGCTATGCAACCGCATAGCCTACTTAGGGCTTCCTGAAATAATTGTCTCAACGTGCTTTTTTTAGACTTGTTTCCAGCAGGAATACTTTACTGTTTCTTTATAATGGACCACTGATATTAGTACCAAAGTATTAGATAGTTGTCACCTGGGAAGTTTTGGTAACTACCTAAGATGACAAAAAACAATGTTACTGCTTGCAAAACTCAGGACATACCTCCTGCATTAGCACAGGGAAGTAAATATTGCTATACGTTTGTCAGATGTTCTCCAGGTATGAGTACCACGTATTTAAAAGGGGAAAAAAAAAATCTTAATTGTTCTTTGTCTTACTCTATTTCATTCAAGGGGGAAAAAAGTTTTCTACTTAATCTAGAATATGGCACCAGTCATGAAAAACAATCCCTCTTTATATGAAGTCTATTATAAATTTAATCAACTGAAGGAACATATATGCAAATATTCCATATTGCAATTCATTTTAAAATAAGTTGATTTCAGAAGTCTGTAGGACAAGGTTCCACATTTTAAAAATCACATTAACAGATGCCATGAACTGGGGCTGTATTTGTTTTTTTCAGGTACCTTTAAGCAGCCCCTGAGAAACTGTCCTGTGAAACAATCTTTCCAGCCTCAAACAGCATTTTTCTTGTTACAACCTTTTAGTGCTGCTGCTGCAAGGGTGGACCAATATGTTTTGTTTTTTTCTTGCTGGCTTATTTGGGAATCTTAATTCATTTCTGTAACAGTATGTAGAGCAACATAAATACAGGGCTCTTGTTAAGGCATAAATCAACTCTAGAGGGCCAAATGCCTTACTACGCACCAGGCTGAGGGGTCAAAGGAAGGTCTAATGGTAGAAAAGAGATTTTAATGAAAGAAAATATTTTTCCTCATATTCTTTTCTTTCCGTTGTCCATCTTAGCATGCTTAGCAGCAGTTGTGTCTGTGGAGAGCTGTGTGTCAGTCCAGAATTGAAGCAGAGAGAAGAAGGATGTTTCTTAGATACAGAGAAAATAGGAACAAGGTTTAAATTAAGGCCCTTGAAGAGGCAGGTACACCTGCAGTATGTTAAAGGGAGAGAGGGAAGAGAACAGCAATTTCATATTGTTTGCAAGATCTCAAGTCTTAAAGATGACTGTTTCTTAAACAGAGAAGACTGTGGTAGGCACAGGAATGGGCTTCTCAAAAATAAATGCATGAGGTGGTATAAAGGGGTAATTTTCCATATCCATATGCATAGCAGCCAAGCTATCCAAGAACATGATTCAGCAAGGTTTAGTGAGTGTGACTCTTCCAGCATGATGCATTTCAAGTCTCTATTCTTTAAAACCACATAAAAAGTACAGCTCAGACTCAAATCATTATCAATACTGTTCTGAAAGCAAAGAGGTTGAGACCTGAATAGCAGCAACATTTGGAAAGATCTCCTTTATGGTAAACAAACAGTCTGAAACCTGAAAATGATGCAAGACCAGCTGGAGTAATTAAAAGCATTAATAAGTAAGTCTTTTATCATAGGGAAATCCCTTAGTATGTTCAGTTTGCATTTTACACTTTGCAGTATTTATGGGCATTTAAAAGACAGGTCAAATAATTTCTAACATAAAAAGACAAAAAGAAAGCCCTCACATTTGCCATGGTAAGTTTGAAGATGGGAACCTTTCTGACCTCTTTTGCATGTCCACATTTAAAAAAGGATCTAATTAAGCAAAGAGGAAAAAAGCATTAATGAACAACCCTTCTTCCTGAATAGTACTTTGTGACCTGGGATCATTTTGAACACTTGGGACTGAAAATCTGCACTTCAGAGCTGTCCTTAACAATACTGACAAGCTTCCGTGTGCTGGTACCAGATGGAAACTAAAAAATGGCTTGCATATACTAATATTTAATTAGCAGTTGTGATGCATTATACAATCTGTCCATGACACTCATATTTAAGATGCATTTCTAGATGCAAACCAAGGTACCCTGACAAATATGATACCCAACAGCAATTGAGGAAGATATAGGCTCTGCAAACCACAGCTTCTTAAAATCAGTGCTAGTTACAGCTTTCAATCCGAGGGTCAAATATTGCTTTTGTCCCCAGCTCAAATACTTCTTATTCCTCTCATGTCCCAGTTCTTCATCTAAAAGAAAAAAGGGCCAAATGGAGGAAGATAACAATGGGCAACTTACAAGAGGGTGTGGTGGAAGCATATATACAAAGTAGAATTTTCTTGACTCTCATAGAGCTCATTGAATTCAGCCAACCATAACAAATTGCTCAATCACTTTATGATATGGCTTATTAAAAAAGCATACAATAGACATTTTATAATCATGCCAAGAAAAGTTATCCAACCAAACTAACACATATTTTCTGCAGCTTAAGCTCTTAGTTCTAGCTCGCAACTCTTCCTTTCACAGCAGTTTGCTGTAAGAAGTGTTAGAAAAGCCTAGGAAGAATCTGAACATACAGTTCTTCCAACATGCATAAAAACAACAAAATGCAGTAAAGTGCAAGCCATGTTTTTCTGCATATGAGCATAAACACACAGGAATGAACAGAAACAGAAGAACTTACAGAAACCCTTACTACTGTACAAAGTTCCTGAGAAGAACTCATGTTGTCAGACTACACGAGTACTTCCATATTAGACTTGAATAGGTTACCTGACCCCTCAGAGGCCATGCAAAGCACAGATACCCTCCTTTTTTCTACATGCTGGGGTATTGTGGATAATGAAAGGAAGTACTAGCTGTCTGCTGATAGTAAGAATGCATAGGTAGGCAGAAGATTTCCTAAGACTTCCAATTCTGAAATCCTGTCAAAGGGAAAAACCTCTCAATAAGAATAATCACCCACAGATGTGATGTTCTCTATACCAATTTCCTCCATAAAATGCAAGCTGCAGGTATAGCTGATGAAGAAAATAACTGTATAGAAGTTGTTGTTCCAAATCTAAAGCAACAAGAAAACACATACATATCTCATAGTCACTACACAAGTGTCTTGTTCAAGTAAAAAGTAAACTTTAGAAATAAAGAGAATACAAGAATTAAGTAATTGAGAACCAATAAAGAGAAAAGACCTATCGGCAGACCACAGTAAGAAAGTGCATAAAAATAAATCTAAGTGGACTCTAAGACTGAGCAGGAAAAAACAATCAACATAAAGTGTCTTCTGGCAAAGAAGAAAAAGAAACCTCCTTTATAACTGTTATTTCTCCTGGCAAAGATCTTGGGATGCTGACAGCTAGCTGTAAGCCTCTACCCCATCACAACTAAAGCTGTCCATCTTTGGACCTAGGTGAACTTGAAAAGGACCATAACACCAGAGAAAACTAGTAGGTAACTGGAAGGTTTTCTATACAACAGTGTTCAGAGAACTTTGAGAACTACCTCATCTATCCATGTAAATATACATAGGTATACCTGCTGAGATGGTACCATTAAATATTCACTCCATCTGCATAGCTGCTTGCATCTTGACATACTTACCAGTAGAGCCTCTGAGCTTAGTAGATCTTCTATAAACTGTAGAAGTGCCTCATATTCCAAATGTTTGTCTATTTAAAAAAAGTTATCATTTGTTACCTAAAATAATTAGCTTTAAAGAACCACCTGTGGTGAGTTGATCCTGGCTGGCTGCTCTCTCACTCCCCCTCAACAGGACAGGGGGAGAAAATGAGATGAAAGAGCCAGTGGGTCAAGATAATGACAGGGAGATCTGTTACCAATTACCAGCACTGGCAAAACAGAATCAACTTGGGGAAAATTAATTTATTGCCAGTTAAATTAGGTTTGGATAGTGAGAAACAAAGACAAGTTAAAACAACACCTTCCCTCCACTCCCTTCTTTTTACCAGGCTCCACTTCACTCCTTCAGTTCCTGACTACTCCACCTCCTCCCCACCACCCAGCAGCCCAGGGGGATGGGGAATGGGAGAGTGCAGTCAGGTCAGTCCAAAACGGTTCCTCTCTGCTCCTCCTTCCTCCTCACGCTTTTCCCCTGCTCCAGCACTGGTCCCTCTCCCCAGGCTGCAGTTCCTTCAGGAAATACCAGGTAGCTCCGGTGTGGCACATACTGTCAGGTCACACCTGCTCCACTGTGTTGTCCCCCATAGGCTGCGGAGGAATCTCTGTGCCAGTGCCTGCAGCACCTCCTCTTCCTCCTCCTCCTTCTCTTTCTTCAACCTTTGTGTTCCCTCTACTGTTTCTCACTCTTTTTATTTCCTCCTCCTCTACACGTGTGGCGGGTTTTTTCCCCTTTCTTAAATATGTTCTCCCAGAGGTGCCCCCGTCCTGGCTGAAGGGCCGTGCCCTGCGGCGGGTGGGCTGGAGCAGCCCCGGCCTCCCCTCACCGCCCCCGCCCTGCAGCCCCTCACTGCCAACACTGGACACCGACACCCCATACACTCACCAGTAAAATTCGTATTCATCGTGAGATACTAAGTGCATATGAATGGCCATGAGAAGCACTTCCTACGCTTTCCAGCATCTTCCTTATACTTCACTAATTGCTGAGACTGCCCTTCGGTCAATTTCTTTCACTTAAGACTGGGAAATCAGAGGCACATGATGATCTCATCCGTTACATGCCCCTGATATCTCACAGCTGATACGAGGCAGTCTCTTTCCAAGCAAAGCCTATGTGGCAAGTATGTTAATACCACAAGAAACAGATAAGGCACTGTTATCTATTTGCCAGTCTTTACCATCACAGTCCAAGAAAATCTCAGTGCTCTCAAAGATCGTGATCACTGTAGCCATGACTTATAGATGCCAGAAGCAATGTGTTTTTCCCCAAGAACAAAGCCTTTGGTTTATGTGAGAGAGGACAAGGAATCTTTTATCTGTTATTTAAAATAACTTAAGCATGAGATTAGCTTTGATATTTTTAGGTTTCTGTAACAGGAAAAGCAGAGGAGGAGTACATACCAGCTTTTCAAGCCTATAGGCTACTTCCAAGAAAGCATTAATTATAGAAACAAAATTACAAATTGTTTCAAGATCACACCACATTGTTCAGCTGAATTAGTGCCTCTCAGAAGAGCAAGAAGCGCCAAGGATGAAAGCACATTGAAAGAGGTGACATGTTTGTTTGTGAGTTTACTCTAAGCATTGATTAGCTTGTTTAAAAAGTAAATATTCCAGAAGAACAATAGGTAAAAAGACACTTGCCCATGTGCAAGTAACATGCCAAGTTCATGTGACTAAACACCGTATGTAGAGACTTGTATTTTCAGTTTCAGGTGAACAACATATACTACAAAGGACCTCATGCTTCAGAAATTGTTAAGAACCAACCTTTTAAAAAAGGTATCTTGGGATAAGTAATGAAATAAATTAGCAAACCCAAGCCTCTTATCACTTATGAAAATTTGACTTAATGTAATGTAATGTTGAAATGTAGGACACCAAGACCTGAAGTTGCTGAAAAAAAATTTTTATTTCAGCTGAGTCAAAAATTTACCCATACTGTAAAAAACATTAAGGGGTGGGGGGGAGAAGCCAAAGACATTTTTTCTTTCAAACACTAAGCAATTAATGCCCACACTTTCTAGCATGACTATTTACACTGGATTAAAAGCTTCACTGGGCATGCGCTTCAGAGGCAACCTTTAGGTAAGTAAATTTTAACTTTTAGTTCAATGTCTGAAATTTGCCATCCCAACCACCAAAAGTGATCTTTTCCACCCTTCCCTTGAACAACATTTTCCATTGCTACTACATAACATACCTACAGCCTCATGATCCAACAGAAACAGCACCAGTGTTTTCAAACAAATAGTAGATATTTGCATAGCAGATAATATTCCGTGTTTGTTTTCATCACAGACTCCAGTAAAATCAGAGGTGAACTAAAAATGGAAAGACAAAATGTATCTCCATTTCAGAAAAGCTTTTCAGCAGTTTGAATTAAATAATATTCAGATGAGAGAGATCTTAACTATATGCTGCTCAGCCTCAGTGTCTTTCTGGTTTAAATCTTTCTTTCCAAACGCTCCTCCTCCCTCTAAGCAATTTGCTTGTTAACCCTTTGTCAGGAATACCTTTAAGTATGACTTTCAGAATCAAGCAATATTTTTCCCCTTTTGTATTTTGTCCCACTTCTTGTTCAACACCCTACAGGGACTATTCAAATATTAATACTCAAATGTTAAAATATATTAAAATTTTAAATATTTATTTATATTATTTATTGTTAAATATAAACGTTGTTAAAAGTTTACACATGCAAAACACTGAAAGGAAAAAAAAAAATCAAGAATGTGAAAGGCTAACTGAAATAGAAAACTATTTCCCCAGAGCTGACCTTTGGATGAAGACTTATAAGCTCTGGGCACTTCACTTCTGTGTGAAGCACTGTTGAATCCACGTTTTGACATGTGTCCCCTCCTTTTCACAGAGATATTTTGCATGATGCCCTTACTGAAATGACACATTTGTATCCAGACAGCAGTGATCTACATGTGCCAAGATGTTTTTTGGGAATCACTACAAATTTTTCAGCCATTTGACTTGTGTGCCAAACAAGGTAAACTTATCTGTAAAGTCAAAGGGAATTTGGCTATTTGCCTGAAACTCTACATACATCACATTGCACATTCTTAAGTTCATTAAAGCTGTTTTTAAGTAAATTCTCCTCCTGTTTGGCATACCTCAGTATAACGTTTAAGGGACTACCAAAGCTAATGGGTTCAACAGAATGTAAAAACAAACTTAATCAAATTTTCCCCACAAAAAAATAAATACAGAAGGATTTTTTTTTCTTTTCTTAAAAAACATACATCTGGACTGCAGAGTGTGTGAAGGTATGCAGATTCTCCAAGTCAGATGCCTTTAAATAGTATCATCTTTCAGTTAAGATCAAAATAAAGAGCTATGCCATCCTCATGACAAAAACTGTAGCACAGAAAAAGACAGATACTATGTTCACTTTAGGAATATAAGCAGAGAGTTTGTTTTATTTTTAAAAAAAACAAATAAACAAAACCCCCACACTCCCAGGAAAAACACAACCACACCTCTCCTACTCATAACACACAACACCAAACAAATGCTTCTTCCCCAGTGAAGCTTATTTGAAACATTTTCAGTCAACTTTCCAGTTAAATAATAACTTGGGAAAAAAAAAAAAACACAAAAAAAACACACAAAAAAAAAAAAAAAAAAAAACAAAAAAAAAACAAAAAAACAAAAAAAAAACACAAGAAGACCACCACACAGAAAAACCCCAACCAGGTAGGCTAAACATAATAAACCACCACCTCTATTTTGATTAAATACAGAAAGTGATTACATGGCCAACAAAGACAAACTGGTTTAGTCTGATTATTAAGCATGTAATCAAATACTCCAGTGAGTTCTAATGTTACTGTATAAAGTTTTTATGAAGCTTCATAGTGTCATGTCTTTCAGATGTTACAACAGTAACAATCAAGTATTTCAGAGCTAATTCTTCTAACTCAAGTTTTGCTGTTTAGAACCTAATATGAAGCTTTCTCCTGCATTCTTTCTATTAATCTTGGGCACTTTAAAACAACAGTAATAGAGAGGAGCTCTAGAGACAGAACCATGCCTGATATTAGATAAGGAGAAGGTTCTTCCTTAGAAACAAAAAGCTGATGAGGTACATCTAGAAGAATTAGTAGCTTTAAATCATTTCACGTGCTTTATGAAGAAAATTACTCTCAGTATAGTATTATAAGGCTAAATATATTTTACCTTAAAACATAGAGACAAAAACAATCTATGTTGCAAGGCTATTTCTATTTGCTGTGAAGAAGTCAAAAAAATATTGTGTTAATCACGGTTAAGAACAAATAGATCAGCATAGAATTTAGTAGCTATAATCCTATGCTAGTTTCATTATAAGAAAGCAAGAATTATAAATAAGTAAAAGCAAAGGATAAACTATAACAGTACAGGATGATTAGACAAAAAACCTGTGCTCTATAAACTATTAGTTCATGTTATGACACTAGGAACAATACCAGCAAATATACCTTCTTTTCTGATTCTCAGGGGAAAAAAAAAAAAAAAAAAAGTGCTTTCTCTATTCAGAAAAAGTATTTTTCACTAGCTTTCCTTAACAAGCCTGTGCAGAAAGACTGGCAATTGTTGAAAGTGAATACAATTCAGGAGAGGAAGCTACAAGGTCTCCTAGGATAGTATTGGCAACATTCACAGTTAAAAAACCCCACAAAAATAAATAACAAAAGTCGTTAATTTCTCCTCTTTTTTGCTTGATTTGTTTCTTGTCCCACACCAGTACAGTTTGAATGATATGCAGTTATTAATTTAAAGTAATTTACTTTGCAGGGTTGCTTTAGATTTCACAGATTTCAGCATGTGATGGAGCTTTTCTTGAATATCTTCTATGTGGGTGGATTTGATAGAAGGGTAAATTCAGTTTGCAATGCCTGTTGTCACATATCTGTGCTTTTCTGCACCAGAATAAGGTACATTAAACAATGACAAACTCAACACCTAAACATGGAATTGCTTATTTGGTTTGCATCTCATTGTCTTAGTAAAAATTTTACTTTTAATGGCAATGTAAAGGAAACAGAAGCAATCTCTTCACAAAGAACACTGTGGTCATGCAGTACAGTTCAGCTTGCTATAGCTCTGTTCCTCAAGTAGAAGTTTGAGAACTGTATTGTCTTGGCACTTGAGTATTGTTCTGCTGCATTTGGACACTTTCTGCGGGATAGGTCTAACCGAAACTCTGTCTCTTGCATGATCTTAGATCAGCTTATTCCTGTGAAGTAAGTACTGAGTGACAGAAAAGCTTGTCTCATGAATAACACCTAGAGCTAGAAGAACTTCCAGAACTGCTCATATATTTTACTCCAGAGTCAATTAGAAACAACAAAAATAGTCTAATTATCCAGAACCGAAGGCTTCCTGGTTTTCATCATACAAATCATAAGACTATAACCAGGCATCTTCTTGTCTGCAAAAAGGCACAGGACCAGAAGGAAAGCAATTGTGCTTGTACACAACAAACTAGCTTCAACATACCTTTTATACTGGTGGTTCTGTCCTCTGCTTGGACATGGGTTCAGGTTTCTCAAGGTTGAGGACAGTCTGGAGTCCAGATCTCCTCCTTCCTTGACATGAGGCTATTATATGGAAGATGAGCAATGAGATTCTCTTCTTCCTTATCTCCACACAGAAGGTATTAACTTAGACACAGTCAGGACTGATAGGTCTGTATAGGCATACCTAGTAATTCAACAGATCTTTTTGAATCATAGAAAAACTTTGGCTGGTAGAGACATCGGGAGGCCAAAGTCTTACAACCACTTGCTCAAAGCTAGGTTAACTTCAAACATCAGTCTGTCTTTTCAGGGGCTCCAGATGAGTTTTGATTATCGCCAAGGATGGAGGCTCCCCAGGCACTTTGGACAACCTGTACCTGGCTAAACATTCTTGCAGTGAAAGACTTTCCCTTTCATGTAGTTGGAATTTCTCTCATTGCAACTTGTGACCATTGCCACCTACCCTCTTGTTGTACACCTCCAAGAAAAGTCTACATCATGTCCATAACCATTCCTTGGGTAGTGCAGTTAAATCTCCTTGTAGTGTCTTCTCCATACTGAACAAACCCAGTTCCCTCAGTCCCTGCTCATACATCGTGTGCTCCAGCTTCATAATGGTTTTGGTAGTCGCCACTAAACTTGAATTGGTATGTCAATATCTTTTTTGTACCCAGTGGCCCAAATGACTGCAATGGCACACTGCTGCCTCATTCTTAGTGAGTTTAAGATCAGAGAGTCCTGATTACGAGATCATAAACAGTCTTAGGTGAGAGACAGATGGTATGCACATAGAACAAGTCTGGCCAGCAGTTCTAGATGCTTATATTTTTTAAGTAAAACAGGAAAGATGACAGTCTTGAATTCAGTCTCCTAAAAGGTACATGTAGTTCTCAGATATTTTCTTGGCTCAAGAGTCCAGTCTCATTAAAAACACTGTAGAAGCAAAGGGTGCTGGTTGACAGAAACAGTTTGATCCATGATTTGGGAGTTTAAAAAGCTGTTACTATCACTATGTCATAGGTGAAATGCAGTTCTCAGCTTACACACACAACTGAGTCTTGGCAAGATGATTAACTGACGGTAGTTTAGCCGACTCTAGACTTGCTTGTTCCTGATATATAACACAAGTAACTAGATATTTTTCTTTCAATCATGCATCTGCAACAAGTTTATAAAAATCAGATTTTAGCTCTCTACTTGCTGGAGGATAACATCACAGGTTCAGAGCGGAGTTGATACTCCCCTTTGTATCCCGGTACAATTCAAAACACTAACATTACAGGCCAAATCCATTAATTGACAAAGCATTAATCTACAACACTAATCCACACAGGACGAGAGCTCTAACTCTTCATAAGGCAATCTGTCTTCTCAGCTTGTGGTCTCAGGCAAAGACTACCTCAATATCCGCTCGCAGGCCTAAAACTTAAGCACAGTGCCTGCATGAACCAGGCAGTGAAAGATCCAACTGTGAGATCAAGACAGCGTGTTTTAAATTACAGTCTGTGTGATTAGGCACAGTAAAGGCCACCTTCTCTTCTGGAGAAAGACCTGTTAATTACTTTGCTGTCTGCCTTCTGCTGCCATTTCTTGTCCTGAAGGACAAGCTGCCCTTTACCTCTTCCTCTTTCCCCTGCTCAGACTTTAGAGTCTATTTCCCCTTTCGAAAATGGAACAGATATCTACTCATCCCCTCCCCTGACACCAATATACAATTAGAAACATACCCCTTGATATTTTTTAGGCCCAAAACAGTGCTACAGATTGAGTAACCATTAAGATTTGATTAATTAAGGTTGGAGAAAGTAGAAGTATAATTTGATACAAAATTAATGCAAAGCGTTCTCAGGATACCAGCTTTAATTAACTTTACTGGAGAATTTTCACTGGCTGAATTCTCATCAGAGTCTACCCATACAGTCAAAAATATTTAATTTCTCAGGAGAAGATGAAGATTTGCATATTTAACTCCTAAATTTGCAAGCACACACATTCTTTGGCCTTGAGCTTGATGATCACTGAAAAAGAAACACCACTATGTATTTTGCTACTAACATACATACGTACTCTGTCTAATAAAGTCTTACATGTACATCTTATCTACAAGCTGGATAGCATACTACAGGAGGAAGAAGGATGGTCTCCATTATAAACTGACACACAAGCGAATGCCTTAGGAATACACAGGGCAAGCAGGCACTGAAATAAGATTTCATTTTAAAATAAAGTTTTGAAGTAGTAAAATAAAAAAAGTAGTAAGAAATTCCATCTGTTAGAAGCATCTGGAAAAAACATCATCATAAGTCATTTTTGCAGTGAGGTTTCTTCATCAGTATATTGCAATTATGATCTTTAAAAGCCTTTAAGTGAGTTTGTTTTTAAACTATGAATTTGTAAAATAAGATAGGGAAAAAAGCAGTAGATGCATAGTGTGAAGCAATCACTCAGACAACATATGGTCCAGAGCACAGAGCTGACCTTCATATCTGTCCTTTGAGAGAAAACAAAAAGAAAGGGGAGGGGTACAAAAACAGAGTGAGCTGGGACTGCTAGAGACTGAAGACAAAGGATTCTGCAAAGGCAACTCTCATGGAGTTCTGGCCACAGCACTGAAAAACAAATAGTTTATAAATTAGGGTGTTTTTTTGTTGTTTTATATTTTTAAAAGCTACTTCTCAGAGACTCCTCAAAAGATCTTATTATAATTGGTTATCTTTTTTCACATTTCTTCTTGTGTTTCTTATGCCATTTTCAATAACTAATTTGAAAGACCCAGTCAGCATTCTCTGACTACAACTTATACAGGAGGTTCTCTTCATGCTACTAGATAACATGCATATGGCACAGCTGGCAGTCTTTTGTTTCCACAGCAGTCAATCTATTATATCTACTACAAGAGAAGTAGGGAAGATAATGTTACATTAAGCCCCCCTCTTGATTTTTGGGCAACATGCTGATGTCTGGAAGAATCTTACCCTGTTGTAGATGAAACAAGAAGCTGTAATGAGAACAGTCTGTACCAAAGTTCCAAATGCAAAAAGACAAATAAAACAAAGTTCATATTGTCCAGTACAAGCAAAATAGAAAGAACCAAGACACACAATGTAATCACAAGGAATTAACGAGGTGTAAAGCATTTAAATGAGGCAAACAAAGTGATGAGTCATATGGAAAGAAACAGAAATGCCCAGTTTCAGTGTTTCATCAGTTTCCTAGTTTTCCAGCAAGGAAGCGATCATTTTGGTGGATTTAATACATACATTTGCAATGAACATGAAGACAGACGTGTCACATATAAACAGCTAAAAAAGCACTAGTCATATAGGTCTTTAAGATGGCCTGGGAGAATTCTTAGTCATCTATGTATTCATCTAACAAACGTGCTTAGGGAGCCTTATGAAGAGTTATATTAGGGTACTGTTGACAAATTTCCTATATTTAAACAACATTCTGACTACTAACATTTTTGAACAAGTAAACCTAATTTGCATTTCTTTGGTTTCAAAGTTTTATTTTGACAGATTGAATGTTTGTGTGTCAAGGTAAGTTATCAATAGGAAAACAATTTTTTCCATTGCTAAAATACAGAAACTGTATGAAATCATGTAGCTCTCCAAATATTTGCAGCTCTTTAGAGAACTTCTGAATTCTGTTTCTACTTTACACTGTAGGAAAAAATACCCCCTTGGTGTGGGGGGAGGTTAGAGAGGAGACAGAAAGGTAAGGGAACACCCACAGGTATGGCAGACCATTGCAGAGACTGAGCAATAAAGGGAGAACCAGATATTCTTCGTCAGATAGATACTTGTCATCAGATAGATACTCATCGGTATTTTGAGCAGGTAAGACTCTTGTAACTACTTCATCTTTTAGAAATCTTTTCACAGTGAACCCAGAAGCAGCTGCTTACTGTCTGGGCCAGTACCGATCTAAACACCGCCATGAATTTGTTGGGAAGACATTCATCACACCTATATGATGGTACAAAAAAGTTCCAGTGGGTAAGACATAGGTATGAACTTAACACATCATATGTTCTGCTGTATCTATCTACCACCGTGTTGCCTGGCATCTGGAATTAACTAGCAAACCTGGCAGGTAACATACAAGAGGTATGTGAGTTGGCAGACATGAAATAGCATTAACTTTGGTTTTCACTGAGTAAAAAACACTATTAAGCCTACTTCCTCTAGCCAAACTTGTAACCTCCAAAATACATAAAGCCAGCAAGTCAGGTCTCTGACAGAAACTTTTTTTTACTACCATCAGTGATCTGCATTAATTATAATGCTGTCCTTCAAATCTATAAGTGAAAAATATATTGCTTTTTCTACTGTTTTGCCTGGGATTCATAGTAGATCAATAGACCTTGGAAACTAAGTCATTCTATTTATTATTTTGTATAAAAGATATTATATTAGCTTTCTTTTGACTCCTGTAATTTCCTTGCTATTCCAAAATATTCGAGTGAAGAATACAGGAGCATGGAAGAAGGAATGGTGAACAGTTTAATTTAAATTTAACTGGGGTGGCACTTCTGGTTTTCTGTTTTGTTTTTTGTGGGGTTTTTGTTGGTTTTTTTTTTTTTTTTTTTTTTTTTTTGTATGTTTTTGGTTTGGTTTGGTTTGGTTTGGTTTGGTTTGGTTTTTTTGGTAAGTTGCACCCAACAATGTGGAGCAAAAATTCCACTCTTTTTCGTAGCTTATATAAGAATAGTAACAGAAACAGACTAGCACACTGGTCACAGATGTCATTAGAAGATGAGAAGGATGCCATAGAAGATCAGAAATAAATGGACTTCATCAGAGGCTTACAGAAAATTCTCCCTTGCAGATTAAAATTCTTTCTTGACTATGTCTTCTCCTAAGAAGCTTGAGGAAGGAGTCAAAATTATTTCAGTTATTATATGAAGTATCTTATCAGAAAGGTACTTCAAATACTGAAGACTACAAATGACAAACTGGTTAACTACTTTCTTTCTTTAATGGGTTATTTGAAGTAAAGCCATTTTAGCTCCCTCAAAGCACCCAGCAAAACATTTGGATGTACAGACAAGCCTCACGTGTAAATATGTACTTTTC